TGAATTCTATTGATTCACTCATTATTTCAATTGTGTTTATATTTGGATTCAAAGTGAAATTGTTTTAAACAAAATCAATAATGAGTACGAAATATATATATAGATTATTCTTTGTTTGATATTTTTTTATTTGTTTTTAAGTTTGTATTATTTGTTAGCAATGACTTAATGTTTGTTTATTGATTTTTACATTATAGACATTGGTTTTTAACTTAGTTTGGGTTTATGCTCACAAAACAAATACTTTAAATATACAGTTTCTTTATTGCATTTACAGTATCTATAATTTGCTTTAAATTGGTTTTTAATTTAATTTATTGAAAGTTATCTCAATTGCGTGGAGAACTTAATGTTGATTATGAAATGTAGTTATGAATGATTAGTTTGGTTTCAACGTCTGTGGCAAATAACACAACCCTTTGAGATAATAACTATTTATTTAGTTATTTTCCCAATTTCTAGTCGATAACCGATTATAATTATTATTTTATCATACTTTATCAATATTTTGTCTGCAGTTTGGTCTCAATTTTAATTAGTGTACTAATAATGAGTTCATAATTTAAACATTAAGTTTCCCAGATACTAATGAACTCCTAGAAATGCTTTATCATTTGATATTTATTTTAAAGTAATGTCAATTTTGTGTTCAATAGATTATTGATTATAATTTGCAGGTTTTTAATTTGATTTCATACTGCTGTACATTATATTAGAATTTTAATCGTTATATACGTGAACTAAACTCAAATATGGTCTAAATTGTAGGTAAAAAGTTATCGTTGTGTCGGTGCTGGCGATCAGAGACGTTCCCCCTGTGCGACGGCTCACACAATGCCTACAATGAGGAGTACAACGACAACGTCGGACCCGTTAATATCGAATGGGACAACGACTCGGAGGAATACAACGAATCGAAAACATTAGCCGAACCCGACATACAGTCTATGAACGCGTCCACGGAATTGAGTTCACTAGAGATGATTGACAGTAACGGTAGCGGTGATAATGGCAGCCATACTAGTAGTCATAGTAATGATGACAGTAATTTATTTTGAAATGAGATACACATTCATTTGAATTGGCATTCAATAACGGATAAAATGCTATCAATTTTAGTGATTTAATTAATTATATATATATTTTTAAGTTTGATTTTCTAATTGATGAGAAACTTAATGGATTTTTTCAATTAGTATTTTGTGGCAAAAAATATTTTTTTCTTACGAATGAGACTTATTTTTGTGATATAATTAAAATATCATTTTGAATGGCAATTGTGGTGCAAATAAGTGCATAATTTGTGAATTTATTTTGTAAAACAAACTTTTTTATTCTCTAACTTAGGAAACAATT